CATGGTACACATACATTCAGGCAAGCACTTAAACACATACAATTAAAAGAAATCTTTAGGGACTGGAGAGATGGCTCAGTGGTTAGGAGCACTGGCTGCTCTTGCAGAGGACCAAGGTTCTGTTCCCAGTACCCACATGGCAGCTAACAATCATAACTCCAGTTCCAGAGGATCTGATGCCCTCTTCTGACCTCCATGGGCATTGCAAGACACAGGCGCACCTACATGCAGGCAATATGCTCATACACATAAAATAATAAAGTATTAAAAAATAAACCTTTAAAGAAAATAAACATTAGTTTCCGAGTGATTGCTTTATGTCTGCCACTGCTTTACAAACAGCATATAAAAAGGAAAAAAAAAAACTCAAAAAACCCAATACAGTCTGGCGGATCTCTGTGAGCTCAGCCTGGTTACATAGTGAGTTCCAGGCCACCTGGGGCTGCAGGGAGACCCTGTTTTAAAAATACGAAAAAACCAAAAACCAAAAACCCTAACAAAACAAAATGAAAACAAACAAACAAACAAACAAAAAAACAACCTATGGAGTGTAAATGCTGGGGGAGTTTCAATTTCTGTTTTACCAGCTGTGTACCTTTTGGTAAATCACTACTGGCTCTGAGACCATTTCCTTACTGAATGTCACCCTCTGGGTGTGTGATGATTAAGTGAGCTAATATAAGAAAGTGTTGCAGAGTCACACCTGGTGGGGTGAGGCGCTATAACATGGGGTAAAAGGAAAAGGGCAGAATTTCACTTAAATCACTGACAACTTTAGTGTATGCGGTTCTTTGGGACAAGGTCTTATATTGTCAAGGCTGGCTTGGGATGTATAGTAATCCTCCTGTCTCAGCGATGGGATCACAGACAAGAACCATCATCACACCTGCCTGAAAACTTGAAAATATCCTCCCCTGGGCTAATGAGGCAGACCTAGGAAACCCCAATTCTGGTTCCAACCTCACAATCATGGTTTTTAAGGAGCTGAGACTCCTTAACCCTTATGTTAGCCTGGAATGGGACAGGAGCCAGTTCCAAGAACTCTGCCCTGACCCTGAAGAATGTGCATGGTGATCCCTGCTCTGCTACAGCTCCAAAGCCAGCCTTACCCTCCTGCCTTCTTCCCGGTTGACCAACAGGGTGGCCAGAAAAAACAATGGGACGGGTAAGTTGGCTCAGAGCCCGGGAAGCTCCCTGGGCTGTTTCCCTCCTGAGAAAGCCAATGCAACTGAGTTGAGGTGAAAGACAGCCACACCCTTTCCCACTCTTCTGTACCAGCCTCCTTCCTCCAACCTGTGCCAGTGCTTTTTGCAGATGTCCCACGTCTTTGGGGAGACTCCACCTTTCTGAAAACCCAGATATATATCAATTCCCATTTGAACATGATTCAAATGATTCATTTCAGAGTTAAAAATTTGTTGGTAAATGATTAACTGGTTACTTTGGGGAAGAGGGTCTGGAGTTGAGGAAAATTCCCCCTCCATTTTTAAGACAGTGTCTCAGGTAAGTCCTGGCTGACATTGAACTTATGTAGCCAAGGTCACAGGTGACTCTTGACACCTAAGGGTGGGGGGGCGAGAGTACCAGGCAGAAGTTTACTTTTATTGTTCTACCTTTTTGTAGTGTTTAAATTTCAAGGGCTGGAGCTGGAGGTGTAGCTCAGTTGTAGAGCATGCATTTAGCAAGTAAGAGGGCCTGGGTTCAATTCACCGAAACCCAAATAACAAATATCCTTTACTTTTGTGGAAGTATTGACTAATTTTTTTAAACTATAAGATAATTTTTATTAAATTTTGATGAATTTTTTTTTTTGGTCTTTCTGAGACAGGGTCCCCCTGTAGCCCCAGCTGTCCTGGGACTCACTATGTACACCAGGCTGGCCTTGAACTCACAGAGATCTGCCTGCCTCTGCCTCCCGAGTGCTGGGATTAAAAGTGTATGCCACCATGCCCGGCATTTTATTTTATTTTTATTTTTTAAATATATTTTATTGATTATTTTTATTTTATGTGTATGAGTGTATTTCCTGCGTGTATTTTGAGTGCACCCGTATCATGCAATGCCGCAAAGGTCAGAAAAGGGCTTCGGATTCCCCTGAAACTGGAGTTAAGGACGGTTTGTAGCCGCCATGTGGGTGCTGGTAATCGAACCCGGGTCCTCTGTAAGAGTAGTCAGTGATAACCACTGTGCCATCTCTCCAGCCCCTATTTTATATTTTTTTAATACCAAGAGGGAGTACATAGTTTGTAGGATTGCAAGACACTTTATCTTATTTATTTATTTATTTATTTATTTATTTATTTATTTATTTATATATTGTCTTTTTGAGACAGGGTCTCCTTGTATCCCCAGCTGTCCCAGAACTCACTATGTAGACCAAGCTGGCCTCGAATTCACAAAGATCTGCCTGCCTCTGCCTCTCAAGTGCTGGGATTAAAGGCGTGTGTCACCACGCCCAGCATTGCATTTTATTTTATTTTAGTTATTTTATTTTTTAATTTTATTTATTTATTTATTTTTTTTGGTCTTTGAGACAGGGTTTCCCTGTAGCCCCAGCTGTCCTGGAACTCACTATGTAGACCAGGCTGGCCTCGAACTCACAGAGCTCCACTTGCCTCTGCCTCCCAAGTGCTTGGATTAAAGGCGTGTGCCACCACATCCAGCTTTATTTTTTTGTGTATATGAGTGCATTGCCTGCATGTAAGTGCACCGGTGTCTTGCAATGCCCACAGAAGTCAGAAGAGGGTGTCGGATCCCCTGGAACTGGAGTTATGGGTGATTGATAGCTGCCATGTGGGTGCTGGGAACCAAACTCGGGTCCTCTGCAAAAGCAGACAGGGCTCTTAACTGCTGAGCCATCTCTACAGCTCCATACTTTGCCTTATTTTTGATTTATGTCTGAGGCTAAATAAACGCTATTTATAATGAACAGAATAAAATGGCTTGATGTGGTGGCAACACTTGTAATCTCAATATTTGAGAGACTGAGGCAGGAGAATCTATGAGGCAGCTATGAGGCCAACCAGACCTACACTGTGAATTCCCGGCCAGCCTGGGCTAAAGTCTGAGACCCAGTTTCAATAAATCACATTGAGGGGCCAGAGAGATGACTCAGTGGGTAAAGTGCCTGTTGCCTCAAATCTGATGACCTGTTTGATACCCAGGACTCACATGGTGGAAGGAGAGGACAGACTCCCACGAGTTTGTCCTCTAATCTTCACACATATGCTGTGGCACATGTACACCCATACATGTACACACACACAAAGTAAACGTAAAAAATTTTAAAAATCATAATTACTTCTTGAATTTTGTTGTTTGAGATAGGAGTTGAGGGATTCATACTCTACCCCAAGTCTGGCCTGAAATTCACTATGTAGTCCTGGTCATGCCTTGGACATGGAGCAATCATGCCTCAGCCTCCCAAGTGCTGGTATTATAGGTATGAGCCACTATGACTGGTTGATTCTTGATTTAAAAAATTCTAAGTTCCAAAGTGTAAAGTGTATATATATATATATATATATATATACACACACACACACACACACATATAT